CACGGTCTCTCCTGCCCGGGCTGGCTTTGAACCACAATCCTCAGATCTCAGCCTCCTGAGTAGCTAGGATTACAGGCGTGAGCCACCAGCGCCCAGCTCAGTCTTTTTGCTAGTGACAAGAGGTTTCCGGTAAATTCTGGCATTGATCACTTGTCACCCCATTTAGTTAAAAAAAAATCTAGCTGGGTGCTGGTGGCTCACGCCTGTAATCCTTGCTACTCAGGAGGCTGAGATATGAGGATTCGGGTTCAAAGCCAGAATAGGCAGGAAAGTCCATGAGACTCTATCTCCAACTAACCAGCCAGAAGTGGAGCTGTGGCTGAAGTGGTACAGCACCAGTCTTGAGCAAAGACATTCAGAGACAGCACCCAGACTCTGACCAAGCCCCATGACCAAAAAACATCCTTCATTTTAGAAATCTCCATCACAACCCGCAGCAACTCTGTGAAGTAATTTCCTCCTTAGAAGTCCTGATGGGCTGGGAGCCTGCCCCAGGCCCGGGAGAGACGGCGGGAGAGTCTGTCGACTTCACTGCAGCCGGCGCCCTGAGCTGGTCAGAGGCCTGCTGCCCCCAGGCTCCGGTTTCTGTGCCTCAGTGGTTTGGGGGCGCTGGTACAGCCAGAGAATGCCTTCATCATGCAGCCGTTTCCACACCGTCCTCTCCAGCCCGAAGTCATGGTTGATGTAAAAGATCAGTCGCTTCCACGAGGTGTCATAGTAGTGATCGGAAAAGCGCTCATGGCCCTCAGTGATGAAGCCGTAGGCGCTGACCTACACAGAGCGGGGGTGGGGGGGTGTCAGCCACCTGCCCGACTCCTCCAGGCTGCTGTTCCTGAGCCAACGCTGCCTGTGTGTGGGGGGGTGGGGTCCTTTTATCCTGATTCCCTCAGGAACAGATGTGGGTCCCCTGAATACACACCAGGCCCACGCCCCTTTCCTGCCAGTGGCTGTCCCCAGCCAGCCACCACCATGCTCAGTCTGCTTAGGCTTTGCTCCTGCGGCCGCTGCTCACCTTGTCACAGAGGTGAAGGGCGGTGAGAAGCAGCAGGGCGCCCGTGGTGGGGCGGTAGATCCTCCAGTGGGTAGTGTTCAAGGTCTTTGATCTCAGAAATCTGTAAAAATATCCCCGATCCCTAAGTGCAGGGAGCCGCAGGGATGAAGGCCGGGCTGGGCCTGGCCGGGCAGGGCGCCTCCCACCCTCACCTGTTCTTCATGTAGCGGAGGAAGTCCGGGTGGAGCAGGAAGTACCTGTCCAATTTCAGGGCGTCACGAAACGCTTCCTGGGGCCTGCGCCTGTGGTCAGGGGTGGGTCACTCAGCCTGCCTGCTCTCACCTGGCCAAGGGAGGGTCATGGGTGTGACTGACCCCAGGTCCAGGTGACAGATGACCAAGGCTGCCCACCCC